ACAACACCACACCAACACACACACACACCACACACACACACGACAGACAGCACACGACGCATAACCACAGAGCACAGGTATTTTGGGAGGCTGCGAGAGTGACAGGCGAATTTGGACCTAGAGGGTTGTGATGGGATGAGTACAACAGCATCAGCCCACACACACACACGGTGCAGAGGACTGCACATCAGCCAGCCAGCGTGTGACTGTGTCCTCTCTGGATGAAGCATGCTCCAGCAGAACTGCAGGCTGCTGGTCCCAGAGCAGAGCAGAAGTCTGCCTGCTGCTGCAGCTCTGCTCCACCCTGCCACACTGGCTCTCAACTGAACACCTCTCCTACACACACACCACACACACACACACACACCACACACACACACACACACACACACACCACACACACACACACACACACACACACACACAGACACACACACACACACACACACACACACACACACCACACAACACACACCACACACACACACACCAACCCTTTAAAGTCCACTCATTGATCTGTCTGTTGTGTAAAGTATTGAATCCGTGTGACACTGTGAACAACATCACAGTGCCTGCCCCCCCCCCACCTCTCTCTCTTTCTGACATTCAGTCTGCCCTGCCTCCAACCTGGCCTGAAGGTGCCCACAGTCCTGCCGCAGCTGGTCCTGCTCCTGCACAAGGTGCTCCTTCACTACACACACGCACGCACACACAAAGCACACACAAAGCACAAACATGACAACATGCTAGTACTAGTGCTGAAAATAATACTCTAATTACATAACCTAAATATATTGTTCATTTGACAGTAGTGATAGGTGGGTACAGAAATAAAACCACACTTTGAAAACAAATATTAAAGGTGACCTATCATGCAAAATGCACTTTTGTACATTTTTTCTACATGAATATGTGTCCCCGGTGTTCCAGGGAACTCACCAAGTGTCAGAAAACACAACCCTCTCTCTTTTCCACCATACCCAAATCTCTAAAAAAGGGGCTGCAACGGATCTGATACAGAGTGATCCAGATTTGAACACTTCTATGACGTCACAGAAGTTGCGCTACGGCTATTGGGCCAACTCCACCAATCAGGAGGAGACAGCCACGGACATTGCCGTTCCAAAGCGCTGGAGATGCTGTAGTACATATTTCAGTTCACCAGATGGTGCTGTTCTCACAGAATCCGAGCATGAAAGACAGTGTTAAATTGAGCGAAATTAGGAATGGCTAAAATGCATGATCTGTTTGGTATTTTGAAAAATGAAAAGTATAAATATGCCTTATATAGGTATGTTATTAATGTTTTTGAAGGAGGATAGTCTGGAATGAGCAGGGACTCAGAGTGATATACTTACATTTTTAATGAGGAGTAAGAATATGTATCCAAATATATAAATACATTTCTGTACAAAAAGGAAATGAGGAAGTTCCCTGATGTCCGGCTGCAGCATTCCTACAACATACTAAATTCCAAAACGACTCACTGTGGATGGAAAGATACACAGACTGACTTCAAGTCAATTTATTCAAGACAGTTCTTACAGAACAGGAACTTCTGGTAACAGTTGCCAATAATCATTCTACAAATGTCACCAGTATTACATTTCATGTTGCCGATTGCTTTAATTAGTTCATTGTTAGTGCTGTTCATCATTCACATGACAGGTGCAAATCACACCAATTCTACTTTTGAGACCAAATGTCTACATTTTTTAGATGCCTCAGAACAACCTTTTTTTTTTTACACTTAACAAACCAAACAAAAATTAACTAAAGGTATTAAATAAATGTAGTGGCGTAAAAGTACAAATTTACCGCCAAAAGTAAAGTATAAGTACCTCAAATCTGTACTTAAATACAGTATGAGTAAATGTACTTAATTACCCTAAACCTCTGCTAAATTTTAAAGAGAGGTACAGCTACTTTATGAAATATATTTGTTAATGTTGTGTAATGGCTATCCTTGGAGTTTTTGGTCTAAGAGTAATTTACAAACCAAGCGGAGGTGTCTACACTGAGTTCACTTATACGTACTAGGGGTGGGCGGATCGATCCGAAAATATCGATACTTCCGATATTACGTTATGTTTCAAAATATCGATACTAGAGCCAATAGGATCGATACTTTTATACTTTTTTTCCCCGTCTCCTCTACTCGTCAATTTCTTCAAAAGACTATGTGCAGACAGTCTATGGTGCAGACGAACACAAGTATATGCTCTTTTCTTCTCTCTCCACTGCTGTCCTCCTCTCCTGGAGGCTCGCGCACGCGCAGCGCGCTCCCTGCTTGAACGCCGATTATCAAGATGACTGACGGCAGCCAGGGCAGCAGCAGCCATCGACTCGCGAGTGCAACAGACACACGCGCATGATGGCTGAGAGAAAGAGGAGCTTTGTGTGGAGCAATTTCACAACTGGCAATTCAAACTTAGCGAACTGTGATGTGTGCAAGATGACAGTTCGCTACTCTGGCCACTTTGTTTTGTTATTTTTCATGTTTGCACTTTAAATTTGCAAAAGTAAAACGCTTATTTGTCTATACAAACTGTCCTCTCTTTATTCATGAAAATGAATTCAGATTTAGTCTATTTATGATGATTTCAGCTCAAAAGTCATGTCATGCAGCTCTCCCCTATATGAAAGTGCATAAGACGCTTTTCATTTAAAAAAGTATCGGTATCGGCGATACTGGCCCTGAAATACTTGGTATCGGATCGAATCCAGATTGTGTGGTATCGCCCACCCCTAATACGTACCTGCAAAAAACTAAAAACACTTTCCCCCACATGCAAATGGTGTTTTATGCCGAATGCAATCTATGAACAGTAGATATCTTACTGTTCATTTGACTTATTTAATTTATTTAGTTCCTCACCTTCCTCAGCTCTGTAGTAAAAATGTATTTCTTAAACACAAGACTTATGTTATTTGTTGAGTTGTGTTATTACATTCTCATAAATGTTTTACACAATTTTCAAACCATGCGTTGTGTTTGTTACGCACTTGTTTGAGCTGTTCGAGCTTTATGCAGCATCCCAATCAGATCCCTGTTGAGAACTCTGGGCAGGAACTCCCTCAGCTGCATCACTTCTGTGGTTAACTTCTCTAAATCACTTTTCCTCACTCTGACAAAACCATCCTGAAACGAAAAGATAAAGCTCAATGTATGCTTCAAAAAAGAGTTTCAGATAGTATGACCCATATAAAACTAATCTGCACAAAACACAGAGGTAGCATCATATCATCTGTATAAGTTAGTAATAGCGAGTCATTCATAACAGGAGATAATTAAAGAACGGTCTGGACTACAGTTAGCAGTTTTACTTCCTTCTCATTTATTCATATATTTAGCAGTCATTTTTACAAATAATGATAAGATATAAGAAACGTTTTTGAGTAAAGCAATAACTACAAGATAAAATGCAGACCCAAAAATGACCAGTTGAATTGGTTAATTGCAGAGGTGGAAGAAGTACTCAGGTTATTACAGGTTATTCAGGTATAATGGTATTCAGGTATTATAATAATATTATTCAGGTAAAAGTAGCAAAACTACAGTAATGAAATAGTTACAAGTAAAAGTGTTGCATTCAAAATTCTACGGTACAATTGTAAGGGTAGAAAAGTATAAGCATCAAAATATAATTTAAGTACCAAAAGTAAAAGTAATCCTTATGCAGAAAAGCATATTTAAGCACCAAATATATATATTTGTAATTATTTTTATTACAATTAATTGTGCAATGTGTTAAAGTGATGCTCTTGTTAAAGTTGGGATTGTTACTTAATAAACTACTGAAGCTTAACCTATAATAACATGTGAAAATGTATGTGTGTTGATTTATATTGTTTATTAACCTAAATCTTCTGTAATGTTAATATGAATGTAGTAAATTAAGTATAACATTTGCCAACAAAACGCGTTGGGGTAAAAGCATATCACTCAACACTGAAAATACTCAAGTAAAGTACAATTAGGCTACCTCAATTGTTCCACTTAGGTACAGGAGGCTACTTGAGTAAATGTACGTTACGTTACGATACGATACCCCACTGGTTAATTGGTTACTCAGTTTAACAGCTTTCATCAAGTGCCTCTCAATGGTTCAAAGTCACTCATTGATTCAGAAAGATGGACCTAGCCTGCCCTGGGGTGTGTGTTGTAGTGGAGAAAATATTGAATTGCATTGATTTGTGGCAGCATTGTGGAATGGAAAGGCCAACCATAGATTGAACACTGTTTCTATAATTAAGTGATATACTGTATACCTGTTTCTTCGAATTTTTCTTTGCGCCATGATTCAGAGATTTCCCGCCCAATGATGACGCCATCTTGTGGTTGGTGTTGTCTTCTTTTACTTCTGCTGTTCACTTTTCCATCAAATGCCTCCGTGTTCTCCGTCACACTGTCAGACTCCAGTCCGGGTTTTGTGGCTCCCCCGCCCCAAAGAGCAGCTTAACGTTATCTCCTCTTTCTTTGTGTTTCCTCTTTAGTATGCTCAGTACTCTGAGGGACGGGGAACACCGGGGATCAAGACACTTTTATACTTCACCAATGTCTGGGGGACTACAAGCCGACTTCTCCAATGAAGAAGGCTTTATCAGCCGGTTTCCCGTCCACCGTGCTTGTCGGGATGGAGACGTCGGAGCTTTGGTTTCCCTGTTCCAGCAGCTCTCAGACCCGGCTCCACTGACGGCTGAGGACCCGTGTTACGGATGGAGCCCCTTACACTGGGCTGCTCACTATGGCCAGGTAGGGATTACCTCTAAATGACTGTCTACATTAAGATGGACACATTCATAAGTAGTTCTCATTTAAAGTTAAACTATTCCGTGAACAACGTGTATTCTACATGTACTTAATAGTTATACTAAAAAGTACTTAAGATACTTTACTTAACTGCAGTCAACCTGAATTGCGGTTTCTTCTCGTAATATTTTAACCATAACAGGGCGGTGGGTGGTTTAGCATGAACCGTTTTTAAAGGTGGATATTTTATGTATAAAATGTGCTATCAGCTTTATTTGTATAAAGTCTATGGCGCACCAGAAGCAGCCGCCTTTTTTTTCTTTTTTTCTAGTCCGCCTCTGATACAGTTGTTTCACTGTACGTGTACAATAAAGTTCGTGGGCGGAAAAAAACAAAACAAATAACTTAAAAACATTTTCATTGGTTCCAGTCGAGCCAATCGGTAATCAGGCGCCAAAACAGCCCTAGGTAAACAGAAAAAGTTATATTTCCTGATGTCATTCTCTTACACATCCATGTGTCAAAATAATAATATTACATGTAATATATAGTGCTTTCTTTGTACTCAAATTTGCATACCATTTATTACATTATTGTAGTTCTTCTTAACCCAGTTTTTCTCAGATGTCTGAGTTTTAAATAAACAGCCTATGTGTCTGAGGTCTGAAGAGTGCAGAGGAACAAGGCCAGTACAGTTGGTTGTGTGTTAGAGTTGCTTTACCTGCACACAGTCAGGTACCTTCCATTGTTCTTTCACAGTTACCCCCATGATGTGTGATGTTTTTTTTGTTATGTTCACCATACCCATTTCAATAGTCTCATTATGGCCATGTGTGTTGTGTTTCAGCTTGAGTGTGTGATGCACCTGGTGCAGCGGGGTTGTGAGGTGAACACAGTGACCAGCCGCTTCCAGCAGACCCCCACACACACGGCAGCGTTCGGAGGACACCCCCACTGTGTGCTGTGGCTGACTCAGGCCGGAGCTGACGTCAACATGCAGGTCAGTCAGCACCAACAGTATATGAAATTAAGACCAGATATATAATACCACCATAAATAGCAACAGCATTTTCGGGTCTTGTGTACCTTTGTTATTAATGTTTTATTATCTTTGCTTTTAAATTAGTGTTTTTAAATGCCATTTTATATATGTTAAAGCACTTTGAATTGCCTTGTGTTGAAAGGGGCTATATAAATAAACGTGCTTTGCCTCTCCAGCATGTCTATAGTGTACTGTTGTGCCTGCTACAGTTATTTCCATAATGTGTTTGTCACGTACACCTTCCCTGTGTCTTCAGGATCTCGTAGGTGAGGCTCCCATCCACAAGGCGGCTCGCTCAGGTAGTGTGGAGTGTATCCAGGTGCTGCTGGTAGCGGGGGCTAAAGCACAGTGAGTATTGTGTGACCTCTGCTCAGGTGCTGGGGTGTAACAGTTCCTATGTAAGCGTAATGCTAACTTCACATTAGCTGTTTGGGAGGGAACTGGCCACACTGGTTTACTTCTATAGTCATCAATTATATTTGTAACCTTCTTCATGTAACCATTACACTTGAAGCCTTTGGTGAATCCTATACCCACAGAGTGTGTGCTCAAATGTGGATTTCTTTCAAAAGTCAAAAAGCAGGTGTGGGCTGTGGTCACTTGCTTCCTTAATGGATCAATATGTTCAGTCTCTTGGTGTTTCCTTACAACTGGAGTACAGTGGAGCACACTCTCCTCCAGTATGGCTGACTAAAGCTGTCAATCACAAGAGAAACAAGACACATCTTTAGTTATCACTCCCCATAATAGTGGCCCAAGATTTCACAGAGAAGTCACTATTCTGAATAAGAGTTAACTTATAATAACATATCTAAATTAGACCATCTTCAACCGGGAAAGTTCTGAAAAGGGCTTGGTGTTATCGCCTGCTGAAAAAAACCCGTTTCAATTGTTGATCTCTGCCCACAAAGCAGGATCTGAAGAGTATAAATATCTATGCTGATGTGTTATTGGCCCTTCCCTTCCAGAACAGCTCAAAGTGGACGTTAACATCTCATATGTCATGTGATGATGTAGAGAACGTGAGCCAATGCAGAACATCTCATGACACACGGAGGCAAAGGCAGTGTTTCCACTTAGAGACAAATATGAACATATCTATAATTGTATAATAAAAGTGTAACATCTGAATCATTCTCATCCTTAAACACACATCACAAAAACTGAAAGCGTGAGAATGAGATCAGTTCAGTTTTGTACAACAAGAAATTTGAGTTCTTACTTCCACAGTAGTCTAATGATAGAGTTGATCTGGTAAATGAGCTTTTCTGCCTCATCAGTGAAGAGGGCGAAGCTAGTCCAACCTGTTGCTTGAGTCTGTTTGATGTGTCCTGACATGTTACTTATTAAAATGATTATTAAGATGTACCTTTGGCTTCCCTTTTTCAAACTGCAAACACCCTGCACGTTCTGATGTTTTACAGCTATTGAATTTGAACTCGATTTTCTTGAGTAATCCCCGAAAAGAGGCAGCAATCGCAATAATCTCAGCAGGACCACATGTCCGCTCTACACTCTCTGCAGCCGCACTCTGGCCAGGTACTTCCTGCAGTGATTGGTTGAATCATAGTCATGTCCTGACCTGCATGCTTACTCTGCTCACACAGAGGGAGGGAGTGTAGGAAGCCTAGCCTCGGGGGGGGGGGGGGGAGACATGTGCATTGTTCAAAATACTCATTACGTACAGTAAAAATACAACTATTTCTTAACATATACACATAATCTTTCACATAAGAAAAATGTTAGTATAGAACAAAAAATGATATTAATATTGTTAGAATATTATTAGTGTTTCATAATTCATATTGTATATGTATGTATATAGTTTTTTTGAGAAAGTGAAGAAAAAAAAACATTGTCGACATTCTGAATCTAGTATATCCCCCCATCACACACACACACACTCTCATTCGGTAAAAAAAAATGATCTAACATTTTTTTATTAACCTATTATAAAAATACTGGCCTTCCTAAGATACTGTCAAATAAATTGTAATCTTTTCTTGTAAACTGTTTAATGTAGAAGTAAGCCACATTCTATAAGAAGTGAGATATAGCAGCCAACCAGTAACATTTAATCATTATATATATATATTATAATATTCTATTAATTCTGTGATTTATTATTTTAGTCATGTATTCCTAATGAGTGTGTTGCAAGGGGAGATGTTGACATGCTTTCAGCTGTCTCCCTGCTCTATAAGAACCTCTGACCTCCAGTCTTCATGTGATCTGTACTGAGTGTTAAAAATGGCCGACAGGAAGTAGTTTGTCTCACTTCCTCTTCCTGTTCAGGTTAAGGAATGCCAGTGGGCAGACAGCAGCAGACCTGGCCCACGCTCACGGCTTCCTCGACTCTTTCTGCTTCCTCTCCAAGACCAAGAAGCTGCTGCAGCTGCACGTGAGGGGGGGGGCGAATGGAGAAAGCCCCCCCTGTGGTCCGGGCCTGCTCAGCAGGAAGAGGCTACTGACAGCCGGGGACAGCAGGGACCTGAAGAAAGCCCGGGGGGACAGTAAGACATGACTCATGTTTTAATGCACCAAAAAACTATGAACATATTAGCAAGAGCACGCCAATGTCTGCACACGTTCCAGAGCGTGAACAGACAGGGAACTGAATAACAAGGCTGGGGCCCACAGACCATCATCTTCAAGTTCCATATCCTGTTTGGCCGTGGCATATTTTACACAGGCTGCTTTGTATCAAATATCAAATCAACAACTACACACACAGGGTATGACATTTCAAGGCATGAGGAATATGAACCTCAGGTGGGGGGTTTGTGTAGGACCCCATCACTCAGAGAAAATACATTCCGCATCTGGAAGGTTCTGAATCAGAAATCAGAATACCTTTATCCGTCCCACAGAGGGGCAATTTACATTTGTTTTAGCAGAAAAGAGCCAAAAACAGCTAAATGTTAACAAAGAAGCATGCATACAAAAATATTATAAAAGATTAAATACAATTACAAAAATTACACAATTTACAAAATACACATCCTGGAAGGCCTTTTCAGGAATTTGTAATAAAAAACACACCAGCCAGCCTCAAAAGCACTCACATCCCATCATCCCAGTGTGATTCAGGATACTCACTGTGAACAGCTGTGTGATGTCACTTCCTGTTGCAGTGCTGGTGCAGATGCCGGTTGGAGGTGAGGATCTGGAGAGCGTTACCATGGAGTCCGTCCCGGAGCTCCTCTCAGGTGGGACCACAGCTGTTTTCTAATTATAGAGGATGCTGCACAGTTGACATCATAATAAACACAGTTGCTACCTCCTATAACTTTCATTATCCATTCGTCTGCCAATAGTTTTCTGGATGATTCCATGAAGGGTTTGGTGTATTAAATGTCCGAAACATACATTATATATAACATCTAATGACCAGATTTTGTGTTTCAGCGGCATATGAACACCCCCCAGCCCCCAGCAGCCGTCCCCTCCCTCTGCCCCCCGCTGAGCCCACTCAGCACTCCTCCGCAGACATGTGTGGCTCGCTGCACCTGAGTGGCTCCCCCAGCAGCTGCGTGTCTCACCGGCCGGCCTGGGGGGGGCTGAGGGGGGCCGACTCCAGGGACTTCCTGCACTACGGACACTACCACGGCTTTGGAGACACGGCGGAGGAGCTGAGTGACAGCTCCCAGGAGCTCAGATACAGGCAGGGGGCGGGACACCTCCACCCACACTCATAGAGGGGGGGGCTGCTCTTCAATAAGCTTAACTGGCACACATGTGATCACACGGCCAGTCACTACAGACACCAAGCACCCGTTCACCTGCAGTTCCTGTTACTACATGTCCACTTCCTGTCAACTGCATCACATGGTCTTCATCAACAGCTGGGACATTTACATATTGTAGTTTTGATATAGTCATCATAGGACAGACACTCAAACATCCAGGTGTTTACTCCTCTCTTAGTGCTGCAGATAGATATAACAATCTTTCAAAAGTGGATACAAGCACCAAAGTGTCTATCCCTCTGGGGCCATTCCAAGATAACTCATTTCCAGCCGAGGAAAAAGTATTTTACCGCTGGATCAATTTAGGTGATTTTGGTATTGAATTGCAGTCAAATGCACTCTTTAGAAACTTCTTCAGAGCTTTTTTGTGTCATTTTAAAACACAAAGTGTTAAAATGTGGAGCTTATTAGAAAGAATTCAGATGTATGTTAGGCTACCCAGTTTTCCATTGGCAGATTATTTAGATTTGATAGCTCACACAAGCTTCTGAGTGAATCCTGTCGTCTGAATTTGGTTTCTACGTGGTGGAAAATGTATGAGTTGACACCGAGATCATTTAAATAGGGCTAGTGAAAGTGATTTTGATCAAATAATTACATTTCCAAGTTGGCGGCCATCTTGGGTTTTTGAGCGGCTAACATGTTTTCTTTCCAAACGTCAAAGGAGTTTATGTGCCCATTTTAGAACTTGTATCCACTTTTAAAAGCATCATCAGCACTATCAGTGTCCCTGTGCACGGCTAATACCTGAGGAACATTCTGGCAGTGTGTCCCTGCTCCAAGCTGCAGTTTGTTCTAGGCACACGCTGTTTCTGTAAAATGAAGGTGTGATGGTGCTAACAGAAACATCCACTGCCCCAGTTTATTTGAATAGACCACGATGCCTTTGTTTCCAGCTCCTATAATGTAATAATGCTGAGAGCTGCTGTAAGGCTGCAGTTTCTCTGAATGAACTGACCTGAAAAAGCTGTTTTATTCCGTCTCAAATGTGTCTCTGCTCCGGGACAACCAAGGGCTTTAAGGGAGTGGACTAAGTGTTAATGCATGTGGGGTGTGGGTGGGGGGTCCTCCAGCAGCGAGCATCACCTGCACTCTACCAAAGGGAATATTTAAAAATCATTTGTTATTTATGTCTTAGAGCAAATGAATGTCTCATTTTATAGCGCTTGTAGTATTAGGGATTTTTTGGGATTATTGTAACATGCTGCGTCTTTTTGTAAACTGTTTTATACTTGTACTGGTTTGACCTCTTTTGTATATTAAAACACGTTTTGCAGTTTCATAAAAAGGGTTCAAGGTGTGTGTGTGTGTGTGTGTGTGTGTGTGTGTGTGTGTGGGCCAGGGTTCTCCTCATCAGGTGTGTTTTCATGGAATGGGAAAACCTTGATATTTTGGTGATTATTAAGTTGAGCTGTTGAGTTCAATTAACACATTAGCAACCAACAAATAACTGAAATGATTGAATTAGAAATGTACCAATCAGTTTCCTTTTAGTGATATCATACAAAACCACATTATGAAGATGTATCAAAACCAAATAGTGACGTTTCTAATATTGAGAGGAAGTTGGCAGCCAGATGTTTGAATAGATTTCAGACAAACAGCGACATTAAAGGCAGAGTTCACCCTGAAAAATCTCAAATCTTGGTGCTCAAAGCCGCATTAAAAACGATATTTAAAAAAACTCCAACAGCACTGTCTCTGAAAATACTCCACAGAGCAGTTTCATGTGGAACTACTTTTTTTCTCTTCACCAACCGTATCACTGCGCCTAAGGAAACAGGCATCTTCCCATGAACATCTGCAGGTGCAGTTTGATAGGAATAAAATGTGTCATATTCAGTAACTAGGTCATTATTTCTGGGAAGAGACTTTGCTGTTTTTTCAACATGTGTTTTTCTGCCGCTTTGAACACCACAAGCCGACATTTCTACGACCAACACTCGGCAACTCACTAACTGTATCGATAAACCGCACTACTGATTTTAGGGTGAACTGTCCCTTTAAGAAACGTTTGAATGAAGACAAGAGGTGCTTTAAGAACTCCAGGAACAAACAGAGCTGCCTGTCCTGTCTCCATAAGGATGGAAATCAAATCCAGGAAACTAATGAAACACGCTTTACTTCAAATCTGAAACATCATTTATTATAAATATTAAAAAATGCACAATAATATAGAGTTAGAAGATATTTAGAGCCGAGTGTGCGTCACCTCGCCCCCCCCCAGGTCCAGCTGAAAGGTCCTCTGCAGGCTGGCGATGCTGGCGTCCAGCGCTGCCAGCCCGTCCCTGAACGCAGCCTCCGCCCTGCTGTCTAAGGTGGAGCCGGACCTGCTGCTCAGATCAGAACACACGGAGGCGTCTGCGTGGGATGGGAGCCCCCACCCCCCCGCCTGGACCTCATGTGGACAAAGTGATTGGTCGGTCAGGGTGACATCAGGATGGGATGAAGTGTCTCTCAGCGGGACTGAGTTGTCCCCTATCTCTGCAGACACAGGCTGACCCAGGGACAGCAGGAAGTGTGTGATGCGTTCAGGGGGGGGCTGCTGTCTCTGCTGCTGTGGGAGGAAACAGGCTTTGGTCGACTCCAGACTCTGAAGAACCCTGAAAAAGACAGAGGAGATTATACCCTCACTCACTCTTTTCATTCACTCATTATATATACACACATATATATATATACACACATATACATACATATATATATACACACACACACACACACACACCTATTATAGTTTTCTCTCTCTTCCAGTCGTTGCTGGGCGAGTGAAGAGTACTCAGTCTTCTCTCGCTCACTGTCCCGCAACCTGCTTCTAGTGGCCTCCAAGTCTAAACACACACAAACAACATAAAAAAAGAATATTGGATTAAATGACTTGGTCTTTTTATATTAAATCTTAAGTGAATTATAACTGCCATTGCTTGTAGAGCCCCATTATTACATGTGTGTCTTCATTTGTCTGCAGCAAGCAGGAGAGATAACACGTTTTCTACCAGTGGAAAGAGGTGTTTTACTAATGTTGATGTCTCACAGGCCTTAAACAAGACATTCACAACAGGACACAGAACTTCAGAGTGATTTAGGTCCTCTCTCCAGTCTCAGAGCACACGTCTCCACCTGCTGTAAGGAGTGTGTTCTCGTCCTCTCTGTCCCTCAGCTGGCTCTGGGTGTCCCTCAGGTCTTTCCGTACTCCCGTCAGCTCCTCCTGCAGCTCCTGCAGCCGGGACTGAGCGCCGTCCAGCTGCTCCTGCAGAGAACACACTGTGGAGAGGAGCAGGGGTCAACCAGAGGGCAACTCTTACTCCACACACACACACACACACACACACACACACACACACACACACACACACACACACACACACACACACACACACACACACACACACACACACACACACACACACACACACACACACACACACACACACACACTACCTGCAGAGTTATTGAGGGGCTCCATGCTGTGTAACGCTGCCTTCTCCCTCTCCTTCAGCTGCTGGTTCAGAATCCTGACACGCCTGGAACACACAATGTCTTAGTGAAGTTGTTCTATGAGTTATTCTTCATGTTTATTATAAGTGTGATTGAAGTCAGTTTTATGTCAGGTACTGTGTAATAAAAGACAGTAGGTACCTGCGGAGCTGACAGTTCTGGTTCTGTACTGATGAGAGGTCCACTGCAGTCTGCACGGGACCCCCAACATCCATCAGCTGGGAGGACAGGCTCTGCTCCAGATGACTGAGCAGCCTCTCGGCTGCACTACCTACACACACACAGACACACACACACACAATATTGAATTACATGTGTCATGACCAGAAACTGTCAAACTGTCAGACAGACACACACCTTGTCCTGTGATCAGAGCCTTCAGCTCCTCCAGCAGATTCTGCACCATCTTTCTCTCCCCGACGCGCGTGTCCTCAGTAACCATAGCAACGTGCCCCGTCTCCATCTGCGTGTTTGGCATCACGACGCTGCAGGTGTGTGTTTGTCTGACAGCCGTGTGTGTGTCCGTGTCTCTCACAGGTACACACTCCTCCTCTTCTACATCACAATCTGACAGACAGGATGTGGGCGGAGCTTCAGAAGCAGCCTGAGGGTCAGACTGAGGTGGGGGGATGGAGGTCTGGGGCGGAGGTGGAGGGACGGAGGGGTGAGGCTGGGGTGGAGGGGTGGTAGGCTGAGGTGGGGGGATGGAAGGCTGGGGTGGAGGGGTGGAGGTCTGGGGCTGAATTGGAGGGGTGGGAGGTCGTAGATGCAGGGTGGGGGCTTGTTTCTGAGGGGGGCGGAGCTTGTGGTAAGACTGCAACGCAGCAGCTGGTCCTGTCTGTTCTGGAAGTAGAGCAAAGGGGAATATGGAGGCAGATATTAGTGAATGTCAATCAATCAATCAATACAATCAGATAGAAAGTTCATAGAGTCACTGCTATCGCTTGAGATGTAGTGAGCGTGTCATAGTCGTGATAGTCCTGCTCCGTTGAAAAGGTAGTCATAACAACATATACATCGTACAGTCACCATTCACGATCAATGAGCACTCCTTTGAAGCAATCCGAGTTACCAGAATGATCCAACTCAAGCAGAGCTCACACATGAGGATAATTCATATCTACGAGCTCCTGCGGCTGCTTTATTAGTTATATTACTGTCGCTTTACACAATAATAGTATGCATGACTGTAATGCTTCAGCACTATCTAAGAAAGAGTTTTACAAGTGTAATAAGTACAAAGGTAGAAGAAGTACTCGGACATTGAAATGTCCGAGTACTTCTTCTACCTTTGTACTTATTACACTTGTAAAACTCTTTCTTAGATAGTGCTGAAGCATTACAGTCATGCATACTATTATTGTGTAANCCTACCAGTTTCACCCACTGTCTCTGCCACCTCCCTCCATGCCTGGTTCCTCCGGTTTGTATCCCGGTAAGTTATTAGCGAATGGTCATAAAGAACCGGGTGGTTTGCTACCGTAATTTCTCGTTTGGAATATGAGGAAATAGCTGCGGTCTGGCTCTCCCAGCTTGCACGCGGTTTGATTGGCTAGCACTTGAACTATCAGATTTGCATAAATGGGATTTGATTGGCTGACGCTGGCTACTCCGGCGTCCGGAGACGGACCACTATGCTACCCACAATTCAGTTCGGCGAAAAGCGAGGTGACGTCACCCCATTCAAAGTGAATGGGCAGACGCGTTGGAAACTGTTTTTGAAGCTGTCGAAGCTGTAGTGTGGACTGGAAAATGCACCTTGAAAATGCTTGAAAAGTGCTTGAATTTCACTTTGGAAAAGGTGTAAGAACCCTGTATATTGATTCTGACTTTTCTGCATCCAACTCACAGATTTATCATTAATTTGAGAAAAAAGATTATTAATTGAACCCTTTTTAGAAGGGAAGATATGGTCATTTGTTCTGGGAATGTCATTTTCGAGCCTGAGACCTGAAAAACTGGTTAAGTCATCTTAACTGTTTACAGTTGGACCTTTACTATAAACTCAAGAAAAATACCCCCTTAATGCTCAGAGGGGAGGAAGTTTAATTCAATAGGCAGGCAAACTCATTTGGTGATTTGACCTTTGGTTTGCAGAGACTGGGTAAGCACTAACAGTATTGAGCAGTGGCTCAGTCCTTGTTGCCACTCATCCTCCAATTTGTTATTTGCAGGTGGTGGAAATTCAGAAGACGGGAGTGGATTTAGAGGCAGAGGTGAGACGTGAATTGAACCGAACAGTCAGTGCATGAGCTGTAGTTCACAAGGGGTCTTCAGGAGTTGTAGCATTTATTCTACAAGAAACATAGATGATCAGAGGCGCTTGTTTGTTCTCTCAACCTCCATTGATTGTTTGAGCAGTTTGTCAGTTGACAGATTTCTATTGCGATTGAATGCCTTTGATGCGTGTCTAAAATACTTTGTGTCCCGATGGTATGTTTATCCTTTCAGGCGGTGGAAAAGGGTTTGACAGGGCGGATTGCAGTGAATCCAATGGTAATTATTGATATAAGTTTAGTTGTAATTCTGCTTAATCGTGTTTCTCCGAATGAATCTAACCAAAATAAATGTGTTAATTCTCTATTTTCCAGGAGAGGAAGGTGGAGGTATGTTTTTCTCTCTTTTTTAGCCCCATCAAGTTGTACATTATCCCCAAAGAGTAATTGTTTTATCTTCTTACTGTGAATCTGATTTGAATATTATATGCTCTGAACAGGGTTCGGAGGCGGTAGCCGAGGAAGAGGCGGCAGAGGAGGTTTCCGACAAGGTACTTATGGATTTAGTCATAATGTGGAAAAAGGATATTTAGCTTGAAGTTAGTTTTCTAACTGCAAGTTATTATGTAATCTTAATTTGAAGTGTTACGGTTAATGGTTGTGTTAAAGGTGGAGACGATGGACCCAGAGGAGGAGGCTCAGGAGGAGGTAATAAAGCAAACGGTTCACATCCTAAAGCTCTGTCTTTCTTGAGAAAGGTCCAATATGTCGTTTGTTTTCAGGCTACCGAGGGAGAGATGAGGATTCCTTTACTCGAGGTAGTAATAGTGTTTTGATGATTTTAACCAATTTAGTTGGGAATTGAAAATGTCTGTGATGTGACTGACATCTTAACCTAACACAGGCGATTCTAAAGATCCAGAAAAGAAAGATGGCGAAGAAGAAGAAAGTAAGTAAATGACCTGAATGATATTAAAGTGTTCTGCATTATGATAAAGGTTGTTTGTTTTCTGAACCACAAATAATTTTATTTTGTATTACAGGACCAAGGGTGACGTATGTTCCTGAAGCACTCCTCGAAGATGAAGCATCCATTTTTGCCCATTATGAGAAAGGCATCAACTTTGCGAAGTATGATGACATCACAGTGGATGTCGGTGGAAGTAACCCCCCGCCGGCTATCATGGTGACTAAGTGCTAAATAATGAATTAATTGAAAAACAAACGCTCTATTTGTAGTAACTGGTTTGCATTGAGCAATTAAAGACGCTTTGGTAAGTGGTGATGAATAGACATTTAACATTATATCAACTTGATTTTGTACTCGTAGTGTATTAAGCTACATTTGATGGATAATGATGTTAGTAACATGTTTTTATAATAGTACGTTTTGTGCATGTCTACACATGCTGCAAAGATTACAATTTGCAAAATGCAAATGTCTTCCCTCGTGTTTGTTGGTTTTAAGGGATAATTGTTCAGGGTTCCCGCGGGGTCTTAAAAAGTCTTAAATTTGATAATCTGAATTTAAGGCTTTAAAAAGGTCTTAAATATGACCAAAAAAATGTGGAGCGTTAGCTAGTGCAGCAGCTCCCGCAACAACACCGGGGGAACTCCGGGCGACGTTTGGGTCTACGTCAACCCTAAAAGCGGAGGTGCTGTAGACGCTAAATACCGTAGCTAAACACCAATCATACAACAGCAATGATGAAATAGTGTAGCCAAGGCAGCAGAGCTCTGAATATAACTCTTGTTACTCTCTCACACACACACACACACACACACACACACACGGGCTGCTCGATTATGGCAAAAATCATAATCATGATTATTTTGGTCAATAATTGATGTCACGATTATTAAATACGATTACTCATTGACTTTGAAAACATCCATTTATTGAACTTTTAAAACAAATAATAATTTGAACCGTATCTTTTTAACTGTTGATTACCCTGAACGTATAATTCAACGGAAAAACCAATACAAAAATAAATTATACATTTAAATAAATAATATCAAAATAATAAATACCAATAAACAAGATCAACAAATATTTGAGCGCACTTCCACAAGCTATTTAACATATATAAATAAAAATAATTAGATCAAATATGTTGTAGTGCACTGTCACAACCTAGCAAAGCAAAATTCAGTTTTTTTCGATGTTTTCGTAATTGTGGCAGGCCAAAATCGTAATTGCGATTAAAATACGATTAATTGCACAGCCCTAACACACATACACACTTTTTGGCTAACACAGTTCTGTACTGTTATGCTGTTATATTCATTGTTCTTATGTTGAACATGAATACATTTACTTTGTAAGTAATTATGGGACGTATTTCTTCTTTCATAGCAATTTTCCTTCATACTTTATTGCCGTGAAATAAGTCTTCAATTCTATTCAAAGTGGTCTTAAAAAGTCTTACATTTGAGTAGGCGAAACCTTCAGGAACTCTGATTGTTATTTGTTTTCCTAACAAGGAATCAGTCCACAGTGAGACTGAGCTGACGGCTGGTCAGACCGAAATAAAAAGCACTTGGTTTACAAATTCGTAAAATCATGATATTTGAATAATCCACAACAGCATTCCACTGGATTCCTATTTCTACTTTGAACCAAAATGACTTTACAAATGATACGTTCAGGATGAGCTGCCAGCTCCCTGGCCTTTCTTACAATACAAATCTGAAGGGTGGAACTCCAGCAACCTTTTAGATGGACTTTATTGTTGGCAAAGAATATGAACTATTGGCGTGTGTTCTGTTTTCATCTTTTACTGATTGAAACCTTTTTCCTTCAGACTTTTGAGGAGGCAGCATTGTGCGAGTCACTTAGAAAAAATGTCAGCAAAACTGGTTATGTGAAGCCCACCCCCGTTCAGAAGTATGGCATCCCCATCATCTCTGCTGGCAGAGATCTCATGGCCTGTGCCCAGACTGGATCTGGTAAAACGGTGAGAGAAGAGAATGACTTCCTGACTGGAGTTAGCTTGTCGATACACTTTGAACGTATGTTTGTTTCTCTAGGCTGCTTTCCTCCTGCCTATCCTGCAGCAGCTGATGGCAGACGGCGTGGCAGCGAGTTCCTTCAGTGAGCTGCAGGAGCCCGAGGTCATCATCGTGGCCCCCACCAGGGAGCTCATCAATCAGATTTACCTGGAGGCCAGGAAGTTTGCCTTTGGGTATGTTTCCTCTAACTTTGACTAATATTCATTATAACCTTAAACGCCTTGTAACACCCAGCACAATTTCAAATGCAGCCCACACATTAAAGTTTGTTTACTCGTGTGCTCTGACTGTTGTAGGACATGTGTGCGTCCAGTTGTGGTTTATGGTGGAGTCGCCACTGGACACCAAATAAGAGACGTTCTGAAAGGGTGCAATGTGCTGTGTGGAACACCTGGGAGACTGCTGGATGTCATTGGAAGAGGAAAGGTAAACTGACGGATGTGTTTCTCTGAGGTTGACGTCAGAGTTGCACAGTCTATAGTTGTCTATACGTTTAAACTGTATCTGAATGTTAATGGTGCTCCACAGATTGGCTGCAGTAAGCTGCGGTACCTGGTGATGGATGAGGCTGACCGGATGTTGGATATGGGCTTTGAGCCTGACATGCGTCGCCTAGTGGCCTCGCCTGGCATGCCTACCAAAGAGAACCGGCAGACTCTAATGTTCAGCGCCACCTTCCCTACGGACATCCAGAAGTCAGTCCCTGATCAAACACCTCTTCACTGTACAAGTGAGCTTTGCATGTATAAAATGGAAATGTTTGTGTTTTTTTTAGGTTGGCGGCCGACTTCCTGAAGACTGACTATCTGTTCCTGGCTGTGGGTGTGGTGGGCGGAGCCTGCAGTGATGTGGAGCAGAAGCTTGTCCAAGTCACAAAGTTCTCAAAGAGGGAAAAGCTGCTTGATGTCCTCAAAACAACTGGTAAAGCCTCTGAACTATTTAACAGCCTCTTGCTTTCTCAAATTTGGAAAATCTCTCTATATTAGAAAGGCCAATGATTATTAGAGTTGTTCCAATCCGTGTGGACTTTATGTTGCTGACTAGGTTGTTCGCAGTATTGCTTCCAACAGGACTGAATAATGTCTTCACTCTCAAACTGAACCATGAATAGGCTTTTCTTAGTCTGGATGTTGATGGTTTGTTGCAGGAAATGAACGCACCATGGTTTTTGTGGCGACCAAGAGACAAGCTGATTTCATCGCCACTTACCTGTGCCAAGAGAATGTTCTGACCACCAGCATTCATGGGTAAGTGATGGTTACAGATGTCTGTATCCACACCTGGTTTGAATGTGGATATGATTGTATTTGTTTCCCCTCAGTGACCGTGAGCAGCGGGAACGAGAGCAGGCCCTGGCAGACTTTCGCTCCGGCAGACGGCCAGTCCTGGTGGCCACCTCTGTAGCTGCCCGGGGTCTGGATATTCCAGATGTGCAGCATGTGGTCAACTTTGACCTCCCTGATAACATCGACGAGTATGTCCACCGCATTGGTAGAACCGGTCGCTGTGGGAATACTGGGAGGGCCTTGTCCTTCTATGACCCAGAAGCTGATGGCCAACTTGCCCGCTTCCTCGTTGGCATCCTATCCAAGGTAAAACACCTTGAGAATTAACATTCATACTGAGGGTGTTTTTGCAGAATAACTTCAGTATAGAATTGCTAAAGGCAGGCACAAGAATGTATAATTCCCCCTAACATGCTAATAACTAAGAGCACAGGAGTAGTCTGTGTGCCTTTTTAGGGCTCCGGATATTCGGTAGTAATCAGCAGCGAACCGCTTCAACACATATTTCAGGTTTAATCATGGCATTCATTTTGTTATTCTACAGTATTGTTGTTTTATAGTTATTTGTTAATGTATACAACCCAATTTGTGTTCTTTGAAATTGAAAAGGATATTGCATTGTGTTTGTTACTTTCGTTGCAGTTATTTTTTTATGGACAGGGTTTTATTTTGAAGGAGAGTTAGCGCTGTTGACAGGAAGTTGTTGCTATGGAAAAAACGTGACAGAGATTAACGGAGAAAAGTCATATCTACATATAAAGAAAATTATAACGTTATAAGTGTTGGCACCCCCTGAAGAGGCACAAGCTCTAAAGTTGATATTGGATATTTCAATAAATTCAATTAAGCCAAAAACGAAGAATAACTAAATTGAAACCCGAATAGTACTCCAACTAACGGATATTTGGGTTGTCTTTGATTGACAGGCCCAGCAGGAAGTGCCCTCCTGGCTGGAAGAGTCAGCGTTCAGGGGCTCCGGGTCTGAAGGCGTCAGGGGCTTCAACTCCACAGACTCCAGGAAGGTGACTGCTTTACATTTCCATCTTAGAACGTTTGTTATCAGTTTAGCTTTCTGTCCCAACCGTGTCCTCATGTGTCCTCAGGGAGGATCCTTTGCAGACAGCGGAGCAAGGAGCCAGGCCGCTGCTGCGCCAGCTGAAGAAGAAGAAGAATGGGAATAGAGAGACATTTAAGCCAAGCACTCAACATTGACCTGAGTTATTTTTCTTTTCATGTGTTCAGCTTGTTGTAGTGTTTTTGAAGTTTCTCATAAGTTCCTTTTAATGGAGTTAAAGAACATATGTCATATGTCTGAATTAAAATTCCAATGTTATTACTTATTGTTTATCACTGCGGTCAAGAACCAATAAATAATATTTGTTCAAAGCCTACACTTGTTGGAGTACTTGATATTCATAACATAATTTCATACTTTTAAATAGTCTTATCTGAAAGACCAAAGTCCATTTTATAGATGATATTGTCAAAGCTGCCTAATGTCAATTGATCAATAGCTTGCAAAGGATTATAGGACACGGCTCGGCAGAGATCTCACAGCTGCACAAAGAAAGCACCGACATATGGCCAAGTATAATAAAGAAGTATAAACATGACCAGTGCAAGTGAATGAACTAATGAATAGTGATGCATAATAGATCATGAGTTTTGCAAGGCCATTTCAGTTCATAGGAACATGAAGCGTCTCAGTGACAGAAGAGTGATCATAAAATCGAGGTCGCAAAAAACAACACAGCTTTTCAAACAGAATACACGCCCTTCAGAAACCCAGAGTTTTGTGTACTGTGGGATGTACTCTGAGACGCTGTGGTGTAATACATTACATTGTGTGGCAAAACGGTAAGATGATGTTTACACTGTTCTTCAGGGAAAAGGACAAAAATAGATGGTATATTGCATTTTAAGATTTAGAAGATTGCAATAACCACGATTTTATTCCCAACACAATGATTGTATTGTAGCTCCTGCTGACAGGTTTGCTAGGCTATGGTAAAGTGTCAAGTCCTACATGTATATCATGTTTATTAATGCCACTTTTAAATGACTGAGTTGGTAGTGTATTGAGTTTTTAAAGTAAAGTAGCCCTAGTACATTTTTTAAGTGCTTTGGTAAAAGTCCTGCATTCAAAGTACAAAGGTATCGGCATCAAATTTATATTTAAAGTACCAAGTAAGTCAAAGTACTCATGCTTATTATCCCATTTTAGAATCATATTGAGTTTCTGGGTTACTTTTATGATTATTGATGGGTGGTTTTTTTAATCATGGTGAAGGTGGAGCCAATTTGGATTAGATTTGTTTATGTACTACTGCTGGATATCTTAACCTATAAATATGTCAACGTTTATTTAATAATTGATTTATGGTGTATTAGTTGTCTAAATCTAAAGAGTAACTAATAACTAAAAGCTTTCAATTTAATGTAGTGGAGTAAAAAGTACAATATTGGCCAAATGTAGTAGAGTAGCAGTATGAAGTAGCATAAACTGATAGAGCCTATATAAGTGATTAATGAATGAACATGGTTAGCGTTTAATCACCGGACCTGGGGGGACAGTATGGAATGCCATTTAAACCGAAATTAAATAAATAAATACATAAATAATTAAGAGAGAGACTGCACTGACCTCTCACCTCTTCAATCTGGCTTTTAATGTGTGATTATTTGACTTTAACTATATATATTTATTTGTTCTTTTATTTTCACTATATCTGTAAAGCGTCTTTGAGGACCTGTAAAAGCGCTAACAAAATAAAAAATATTATTGTTATTATTAAAGCTCTGCACCGCCCTGCGTCGTCTCCATAGCAACGCCCACTGTTCAGATTCTGATTGGACCGCTGCTGCGTGTTGTCTGTTTAAAACTTGGGCTTCACCCGGAAGTTGGAGCATAACATTGTGCGTGCATGTAAAAACAAACAATACAGAATAGTTGAAATAAGTGTATCTTCTGTGTTTGGCAGCAGAGTGCAGGAGCTAGTTCACCATGAGAGGAACAGCTAAAGGAAAGGTATGACCGAATAAAGCTAAACTGAACACACAAGCGCGCCACCTGTTAGCTTAGCTTCATCAACATATAACTACTTCGTGGACCACAACATAACACTGCTACACAAACGCACACCCTTCACTGTTAACACAGTTAGCACTGTTAGCAGGGGGCTCTTCTGCAGAGGACATTGAAGTTGAAGCTAGCTGTTGTGTTCACATTCTTCACTAATATGTTTGCATTTATTGTAATAACCTGATATACATTACTGCCAAGTGAGCTGGGTTCGGAGGGATACTTTAAAACCTGTACAAAATGTAACATAATCTAAGAATCGCAAAATACAATGTATGTAACCTGGACGTTTTGTTATTGAGTGTATAAGAGTAACTGTTTGTATCCTGATGACTTCATCCCGTTACATGTAATCTGTTACTCTGCATGCCTGCGAGCGAGTTCCAAGGTTTTAGAGCTGTGCTTCATATTATGATGATATGATGATGATATACAGTAAATGTTGAATATACATAATTCAAACTTCTAAAAGAGATGCTTTCATTGCTAGTTAGATTAGTATCATCTGTCTCTCCAGGCTGCAGAGGAACTAAAACAAAAGCTATTTTTTAAAGCAGAAGTGCTGTCAGTGGTTGGTTTACGCAGGTAGCTCTGACATCTGACAGACCTGGAATCAGTCCTCCAGTTTAAACAGGCGTGTGATTGACAGGTGGTGACGTCAGGGAGGCTGACCGGAGGAGGCAGAGTGCAGCACTCCAGGAGACGGTGAGAACACAAGCTTTCAATCACCTTTTTTACTGTCACTGCCCATATTTCTTATATACACGTATGTTCCTTTTAGCACTCCCTCAAACCCAGGAGCAGCAGTCTGCGCTGAGCCAGCATATTCCCTATACTCCACAGACTCTGAGGACCAGGTGAGGAGGGGGGGCTTGATGGGTACTACACACATGAGAGGATACTTTGGGATGAACATGGGGATACTCTAGATGTTCTGATGGAAGCTTTTATAAGAGGTGTTATCCATATTCAGTGTGATAGTTTCAGTAAATGGTGGTCTGCATGCTCCAAGCTGGCAGGGCAAAGTCAAATACAGCTGTGGCAAACTTTTGAAAGAGAGGCCAACCAAAGAATGTAAATAAAAAGTGAACACTGTATTTTCCCAGTCTCACCATGACATTAGACAGATAGAGTCTATATTTAGATATGTTTCCAAAAAGGGACTGAACCCTTAAGAACACAGGAGTTCCTGTTCTGCATGACTTTACTGTTTGACGAATCAAAACTAACCAAAGTCACACACTTACACAAACTAACTGACCTATCAAAAACTCCTCGTTTAACCCACTTCACCCTTCTTACTACTCTAGTGTGCTACAGGAGTCATTGATTTTCAGAAAGGCTTGAAAACATGTGACACTGCCACACCACAGAGAGGGTATGGTGTGTGATGTAATTGAATGAGGTCAACGCCATAACGGGCATAAAGCTAGCAGACTAGCAGCAAGTGTACAGATGCTGACGTGGTCTCCCCATGGTGGTGGTTAAAGTGTGTGTAGTGACGGCTGTGTTCTGTCCCTCAGGTCACCACTCTGCACCGGGGGCTGGACCGCTGTGCTGCCTTGCTCGGGGGCATGCTTCAGGCTGAGAAGGCAGGTCAGAAGGGTTTTCATACAATGCTTTGTTACAAGAAATGCTCAAACTATCACTTTATTATTTGATCAACATGTATTTTTAAAGCAAGAGACCGTGTGTGTGTGTGTGTGTGTGTGTGTGTGTGTGTGTGTGTGTGTGTGTGTGTGTGTGTGTGTGTGTGTGTGTGTGTGTGTGTGTGTGTGTGTGTGTGTAGTACTATACTATATATATATATAGTAGTACGTAGTAGTAGTANCACCCGGTTCTTTACGACCAGAACTATTTACCGGGATAAAAACCGGAGGACCCAGGCATGGAGGGAGGTGGCAGAGACAGTGGGTGAAACTGGCATTGTATGCCGGGGGGCGGGACATTCATGTGATTGGTTGTTGGTCGCGGCACTCGAATAAAATCCCCAAGCTTCAGACACGCCCAGCTCCAAGCGTTTTTTGAAGCTGTAGTGTGGACGGGCCGTTACAGCTGTTGTAAATTACATATTTATATACACATACTCAAATGATTATTTCCCTACCTCACATTAAATCAGATGTTCTTTATGCTATAAACAACCAAATTTGTGTTTCGTGATCGCCTTCCTCACGAGGATGAGAAATTAAAGAAAAGAAAACTAAGTTTAATATTTCAAAATGAGTGATCTGTACGTAGACTGGGCATCCCATATAACCTAGCTGAGCCGATATAAAACAATCAGCCAAATAACTTTTCAATACATTATTGATTACTATTTTTGAGGTACTTTAAGGTTGGCAGTTTAACTATATTTTGATAATACTTTACTACTTTTACTTGAGGAATGCAGGACTTTTAATGTGACAGAGTATTCCTACACTCTGGTACTTCTACTTTTACTAAGTACAAGATCTGAATACTTATAATTTCACTACAAGATCTGAGTACTTGTACACTCAAGTACAATATCTGAGTACTTATTCCACCTCTGGTAGTTTATTAGCCTGAATTGTAACGAGAAAAATCATGCAGAGCTGCATAAAAATAGACTCACAATGGTAACAAGTGGAAAATAATATTTACAAATGTGTACAATGATTTGTAGGTAATTTTGACTACTCAAGACACCTGACTTATACATCTTCAAAGGAAGACTGGGTTCAATCTACAATTACATGGGATTAAAGCAAGATGTAGTTTTACTTGTATAATACTTCAATTTTATATAAAAGACAGTTTGTTTTCATCTGTTTTCAAATAAACAAAGTATTGGTTTTCAGAATATTAAACTTGTTTTGGCAAATTCAGATGATAAATACAACTTTGAAGCTTGGTACGGCATAATTACAAGCAGAGAACGGAGTAGCTTGACGTCACAGCAAGCATAACAGCCGGTGTTTCTTGTGAGTGTTTCCCCGGGAAACAAACGTAAAAATACACAAACACACTCGCGAGCTTCCCCCAGACCAGAAATACAAACGAAAATGTGTATTCGGGTCAATGTGACTGATTTCGATAGAGCAAGTCACATTTGGTTTAGGCACGAAACATACTACCAGTAGAAATACATTGCTTTCAAAATCACTGTGAAATGCCGTGAGTGCTTCATCCTCTGAACACCACACGATGGCGACTGTAACGCACGTAACATAGGTACGCTCCTCTGAAATGATTGTCCCCTGCGCCATCGTGTGGTGTTCAGAGGATGAAGCACTCACGGCATTTCACAGTGNTTTGTTTAAGCTAACGTTAGCGAGCTGAATCGCGAACTCGATTGAGGGATAATAATAATTGCAGGGGACAATCATTTCAGAGGAGCGTACCTATGTTATGCGCGTTACAGTCGCCATCGTGTGGTGTTCAGAGGATGAAGCACTCACGGCATTTCGTGTTATAGTCACGAAATATAATCTATTGATTCGACACAGAGCGATTTTGAAAGCAATGTATTTCTACTGGTAGTATGTTTCGTGCCTAAACCAAATGTGACTTGCTCTATCGAAATCAGTCACATTGACCCGAATACACATTTTCGTTTGTATTACTGGTCTGGGGGAAGCTCGTGAGTGTGTTTTGTGTATTTTTGCGTTTGTGTACCGGGGAAACACTCACAAGAAACACCGGCTGTTGTTATGCTTGCTGTGATGTTACATGAGTCCGTTCTCTGCTTGTAATTATGCCGTTACAAGCTTCAAAGTTGTATTTATCATCTGAATTTGCCGAAACAAGTTTAATA